AGAGATGATGTGTTCGGTGCAAGTGCACCAAAACATACTGAATAATATGTAGCTACAATTGTCTCCACCCGAAGAGACCCGAATTGCTACCCCAATACCAAGCTTGTCCGTACATTGTATACTGTACCCCAGTACCTAGAGTAGGGAGTTGAGCCGAGCCAAGTATAGCTACTACGTCACAGGTCTCCGCGGAGGAGCAAGGGAAAAAGCGACCATCGAGGACCAAGCATTCTCGGTCTCGCAGAGTGTCCAATGCATACACTGGGGTCAGGAGGGTGCTGAGAGGAAGTGAAACCGCAAGTGTAGCGCGCAGAGCGCGTTTACAACAGAGTTCATAGAGTTCACAGGGACGGAGGAAAGGAAAATCATGGCGGCGACGGACTACCGTAGAGAGGATAGTGGTGAGCAGTATTAACCACTGAAGGGAGCGAGAGCCATCTTGCGGGTGGACTCGGTCGTGAACTTGAACTAAACAGGGTAGACAGAGTGGGCCAAGGCTAAATTCGAAATCAATTTCGGCATCGACTGGGACGAAAGAGGGTTCAGGCACAGGTACACGGCCGCTTTGGGGCAACCTTGGAATACCACGATGATACCGTTGGTGGTAACTATTACTAAGTGTCACTAAGCGTGGGCTGGGCGACAACTGGTGTGCAAATGGTGGTATTATCGGGGAGATTACGGTATTGTGACCGTACACAGCACGGAGTCCGCTTGCATCTCCCCGTACATGCCAGTCCAGTCAAGGTGTGAGAACATTAGTACTCTACATATGTTGGGAAGTAGAAAAAAGGACGAAAACAAAGGACATCAGTGTACAAGTATGAGTACTACTCGGTAGTCACCGCACAATGAATTAATAAATACGGTGAAAGGGTCAACCTTGGAAGCGACCAAGTTAACAGAAACGAGGGCTAGGGTCATTTACCCGCATGTTGGGGAGGGGCGGCCCTGAAGCGGTTAGCCAGCACAAAATGCCTCATAGTCATAGTCGGCCACCAACTCGACACACAATAGTCATCACGCTCCACCAAGAATAATGAAACCCTACTTGTCTGGTCGCACGGATAGTACTTGAGTACCTAGAGTACGAGTAGAAAGAAAGAGAGAAAGAAAGCGATCAGCATGAAAATAGCTTACAATGAAACTACCAGTACGGAGTACCCAAAAATAACATCTCATACTATACTATTTACTACTGTATGTATACCCCGTAGATGACTGTACGATTACACTTGTACTATTTGAAGGCGCAGGAACCATAAACCCCCCCCGTACTGTGAGCTGCATCTCAGGTGGGGCTGGAAGAAGCGTGGAAGGGCAAGGGCAGACTTTTGCTTGTGGCAACTGGGAAATCTCATGTAAGAAATTCGGGGGAAAAAATATTTTTTAATTTTTTAAATTTAAATAGCCCAAAAAAACCCCAAACCAGAAATGAAAAATTAAAAACCCCCCAAAAACCCCCAAAAAAGCCCGCAAAATCAGCGAGACGCTAAACCCAACGCGATCGTGCCGTCCTCCCGCGTATCGTCACTGTCTCCCCCCCTCCTCCAGTTTCAATCCTATACTTGCCTCTCTTTTCCTTACCACTCCATCTCCACTCTCCTCTTTTCCTCCCCTCTCCCCTCCTCTATTTTATCTCTCTTGTCAATCTCAACTCTTTTTTGTCCCTTTTTTGTTTTTGGTTATTTTCCTTTTCTACTATCGACTCACGGCCCCAAGATTCGTTCTTGGCGCTCTGCCTAAAGCCTATCCGGCGCTCATTATTGAGCTGCCACCCGTGAAAAAAAAAAGACGATTATTCCTCTTGGCGACTATTGTCACCGTTTCTCTATTTGATGCCTCGTGCCCCCCCTAATCATGCGCTGGATATCCTGACAATCGTCCTTTCCGGGGCTTTCTCTGGACCTTACGGTCGATCGATCTATTGGTGATCGATATTGAAAGAGTGCAATTACTACGCGTGCTTATATCGCCACTTGCCCTCTACGACAATTCTTCTCGACAATATGGCTCAAACCCGTGGCGACGACCGAAGTTTTTCTTTTCACAACCTTCTCAAGATGCTACTTTCACCCGGATCATCCACCCGGCCGACCCACGAAGAGGGCGACCTGGGAGAAGACCTCGATGAACCCCCCGATCAACATCATATCCTACACGCCAAACCTATACACCCTGAAGATGGAAGGATATTTGCACGACCGCCAATTCCCGAACGCCAGGAATCCCTGCTCACCCGTGCCCTGAAGAGCAGTCCCGAAATGTCTCCTATCGAACCTCAAACCCCTCTCCACGACTCGACCTATACCTATCGTTCCTACACTCACAGCAACATCAGTGGCATTTCAACTGCTGAGCTGACCAGCGATGGCGGTCTTACAAGCCCCTCCCTGTCCAACACCCCGAGTCCGCCACTCCCGTCTCAGATGATGGCGAAGAAGGATGTCACGCCGAAGATCAAGGTTGTCAACGCCAGCGAGACTACTGTCGAGGCCAACCTTGGACGCAAGCGTTGCATCAGCTTTGCCTGCGGCCGTAAGACCGACGAGTCATCTCAACAGAAGCCATCTGCACCACTACCAGCGCCAGCGCCACCTGCAACAGCTCCCTCGAAAACGGAAGAGACCCTCGAACCCCCGAAACGTCGAACCACCCTCACATTCGTCTGCCCTGGACGTCAAGATAAGAAGCCAAATATTCAACGTGAACGCTCTCCAGTGCGCAAGGTTGCATTCCGATCTAGATGCCGCGGATCTCCCGCCCCCTTGTCTCGTAAAGTTTCGCCACCCGCCGAGAGCTCAAAGGCCGCCGAGGTTATTACCACCCCTCAAACTACCGCTATTACTCTCTCGAAAGCAGTTCCGACGAGTGGACTGGGCAAGTTTGAGGAATCCGAGGCAACTCGTTTCCACGAATTTGCTAGTTCTATGGATGAAGATGACGAATGGGTCAACAGGGCAACGGACTACAAGGAAAAGATCACTCTGAATGACTGCATGAAGAAGGAAATCGCCATTCGTCGACTTGGCGAGGAGGCTGAGGAGGAAGCCGAAGACGAGGACGACGATGACGACCTGGACTTGGCAGACGATGACTCAACGGTCCACGACTTCTCCGATGACGATGGGAATGAGTCGGATAACGAGGCTGGTTTTGCCGAATCGGATGAAAGTGACGATGATGGCTCTGACTACGAGTTTTGGGCCCCATCTGCTACCACCTCTGACTCAAACGTTCCATCTATTGAGGTGTTCCCCGCCGCGATGGAGCGACGTGCATCCAACACATCCTTTGACTCAATGACCGACGATCATCAGAAGTGGCTGCCGGCACCTGTACAACGGTCTAACCGTCGCCCCTCTCGTTCTGCCCCCAGACCTATCAAGATGCGCCCAGGTACCCCAAACTTGCCCGACAGCACAGACTTTGTCTGCGGCACTTTGGATGAGGATCGCCCTCTTGAGGCCGCCTACAAATCATGCATCGAGCAACGCCGTCTTTCAAAGCAGGTTATGATCCCGCAAGACATCGACCCTAGCTTCCCTACCAGTGACCCCGAGGACAACGGAGACCTGGAAGACATCTCGGAAAGTGCGTTGGACAGTGTTGTGTTGGAGCCCACTCGGGGTCGGGCCGATGGCCCGGCCGACAACGCTTCGCCGCGCCACTCACCGAAGCGCATGGTGTCGCCGCCGCCGCCCTCTCGTCGGGCCGGACGCACATCGCCCAAGCGACTCAAGTCTCCCCCTCCTCGCATTCGAGCTAAGTCGCCCTCGCCTGAGAAGTTTGAAATGCCAGAAGACATGCCTGAGATCAACTCCCCTCACGGTGTCAACATCAGCCATCTGGTTCAACGACCGCCTATTATTCGGACCAAGTCTTTACCCCGGACACCGAACCCATTCTTCACCAGCATGGACAGATCACACCGTTGGCAGGGCATTCCTCCTCTGACTGAGTCACCTGAGCGTGAGCACTCGCGCACTCGTGAGCCTCTTCACACCCGCGGCCCGATCGACATTGTCGAGGGTCTTGAAAAGAAGCGCCAAAAGCGCAAAGAGAAATTTTGGCGCCAACACTGCCGCAAAGCTGCCAAAGAGCAGGCGGTCCGGCGACCAATTAAAGGCAAGGGAGCCGAACGGATGAAGGAGCTTGGCCTCGAAGTTGCTGAGAGGTGCAGAGCTTATGGTGTCGGACAAGACACCCAGCTCGTCCTATCTGTTTGAGCTCCCGACCTCTCCTGAGGTCAACCCATCTTCCCACCCACCACCCCTTCCTTCTATCTCCTTCCCACTTTTCCTAACGAATACCCCTTTTGGTCTGTACATATCTTACCTTATTTACCCTTTCACCCTTTTTTCTCCCCCTCGGTCTGGTTCCGAGAACCCTTCGCTCTTACATACTTATGTTTGTGTCTTACCATCGAGTTGATGGCATGTTCCCTTACACCTTTCTTTCTCTCGCTTATTTTGCTTTTAATCTCCTTGGGAGGAACTCTACCTATTCTTTTATTTTTCTACCCAGCATATGTTTTTGCTCTGAGGAGGCCACTTTCTTTTTGAATTGCATGGTTGCGGTTGCATATACCCCTTATCTGAATTTGCTGCATTGTGGATAAAGTGGGAGGAATTGGGTCGGTACTAGTCTTGTTACTAGAATACATATATATTTGGATGATAAATAATTTCCTCTTAAATCCGAGTCCTCTAATTACTAGACTTTCAGTTCCAAACATCTGAAGAATAGTAATCGGTAGGTACCCAGAGGGCCGCTTGCTTAGTACAAACGGGGAGCCGAAGACTCGTCGAGTCCGCCACCGCTGATCCTGAGTGCCTCAGGCAGCAATCCCTCTCAATTCCGAAAACAACATTCAACCTGGCTTCTTGCCTCTCCTCCTCTCCATCCATCACCGTCGCCCCGCTCACGTCCAATTTTGAGTCCCGACCTCAGACTCCATTTCCTTCGATCCCTCCCTTCTGGCCTCCTAGCTTTTCACCATGTGGATCGTCAACTGGTGTAAGTGCCCGACCAGACCCGACCATCACCCTACCACTTTGTCCGCGCCCATGAGACCGAGAAGCACCCACTGGAAGATTAGATGCTCGCCCATCTAATACGTGCTACGATATCCTCATGTCTGAATGCGCGGGCAATAGAGGCCGACCGTCAACCCTTTGTCTCGTCCCCCGGGCCCTCACACTTATTGCCGCGGCTTCTGCGCCTGTGATTCTGGGGGTGGGCTGGGTTGGACTTCGATTCTGGGTTCAGCGTTGATACAGTTTTACTGATGCGGTTTTCTCGCTTTAGTTTACGATGTTCTGGCTTCGCTTGGCCTTTTGAACAAGCATGCCAAGCTCCTTTTCCTCGGTCTGGATAACGCCGGCAAGACTACCCTGCTGCACATGTTGAAGGTGAGTCGAGTCGAGGTCGAAAGAGTTGCGGCTTATTCCGCGGATGACAGTGGGCGATGTGATATGATCCGGCACTTGGATCGGGTATTGGAATCCAGCGAGATATCTGGAATGCGACTCGGGTCAGCGCTCGAGCAGGCAGACTGGGTGGATATTCTGGATTGCTGATGGCCGATTTGGGACTGGCTGGTGTCATACGGCATTTGATTGCTTCGGATATGAGATGAGTGGGATATGGATGGCATGATGACTGACGATGTCGACTCTTATAGAACGACCGTGTTGCTGTGCTCTCCCCAACCGCCCACCCTACTTCCGAGGAACTGGCTATCGGTAACAACCGCTTCACGACCTTTGACCTGGGTGGTCACCAGCAGGGTGAGTGATCGATCCCTCGTGCACACATATCCCCTTCCCTCCTGCTCCACCTCCACCTTCACCTCCATCCCAATCGATATCAGCTTGCTAAACTATCTTCTGTGAATAATAGCCCGCCGTCTCTGGAAGGACTACTTCCCCGAAGTTAGCGGTATCGTTTTCCTCGTCGACGCCAAGGACTACGAGCGCTTCCCCGAGTCCAAGGCCGAGCTCGACGCCCTCCTCGCGATGGAAGACCTGGCCAAGGTCCCCTTCCTCGTTCTCGGTAACAAGATCGACCACCCCGACGCTGTCAGTGAGGATGAGCTCCGCCACCAGCTTGGTCTCTACCAGACCACTGGCAAGGGCAAGGTTCCTCTCGAGGGAATCCGTCCCATCGAGCTGTTCATGTGCAGTGTTGTCATGAGACAGGGTTATGGCGAGGGTATCCGCTGGTTGTCGCAATACGTCTAAGCTTCCCCATCTCTCTCTTGTTGAATAGAGAAGAAAAAGCCGAAGACGATCCGATCTCCGAGGGTAATTTGATTTATTCGAATTGCCGCCCACCCTTCCTTCATACCCTTTTGATTTGAGCGGAATTTGGAATTATACGCCTCGCTGAGGATTGTATTTCTTTTCTCAAATCAAACACACCCTCACTCATACATTCCACCATTACCCCCACCCCCATCTTCCTTTCCCCTTCCCCTCTTACTACGCCTTGATGTGTCACTCTACAACTTGTAACCTCCCCCAAATGCATGTCTTTGATTTTCTTTCCTTTGATTATGCCTCGATTGTTTCCACTGCTGCCTGTTAGCCGGTGACTTTGCTTCGATTGCTCCATATAGTTCCAACTAAAAACATTCCCAAACATCTTCGTCAGTAGAAGTGTATGCCGAATTGAGGTTGGTGTAGTATAGAGTAGAATACGGCATAATTTACGGGCCTTGTATCTAAGCCTAAGCGAAGCTGACGAATTACGTGCAACCCTGGGAATCAAATCAAGTCACCCCCGACCAAGACCGAAGGATATTTCAAAAGGCTACCCAGGCTACCCAGCCTACTTCGGTTGCAAGATTGCCGCCATAGCCGAGGTAGAGATTATATGGACAACAGCTTGAGCTTAATTGAGACGAAAGTTGCAAACGGGATGAAATGCATTTAATGAACTAAACTGATGCGCATACAGAACTTGAAACATCTCAAGTCAAAGTCTAGACGAATATCGATCCTTCTATCCCCATCTCGATTCCAATCCTCTAGAAGGAATAGGAGAGGAAAAGGAAACAAGGAAAGAAAAGAAAGACGACCTAGAAACCTACACCTGTACCGGGTTTACCTACCACTCACTGGCCGAGAGTAATATAGTGGGAGGGGGGTTTAGGCCAGTCAAGACTCAGACGGATAAATTAAAAGAGGCAGGACAACACATGCGTTTCAATTCAAACACAAGACCGATAAGACAGAAACAGTTGGAAAAGATAAGAGATAAACCAGGTGTGCCCCCGCCGCCTTTCCAGGATGCCGAGAGGAAACATTCCGTCCAGATGGTAAGAAACAAAGGTAGGATCGACTATGGAAAAGAAAAGAAAAAGGAAAAGCGGGAGAGAAAAGAGGAAAGAAAAAGGGGGAAAGAAAAGGGAAAAGAAAGAAAAAAAAACCAGTCCAACGGAGGAAGAAAATAGAAGAATGTCGATGATAAGAAATTGTCGCTCCGTAATCCAGAGGTCGCGGGTTGTCGGCCGGAAATGATGGAGACGGGTCTTCCTCGCTTGTCGAACGGGGGTAGCCCGAATGATGTCGTGTATAGAAGGCTGTTCAATAAGGGATTATCGCGGAATCGAGAGGTATGGAGGTGATGGCGTGTGGGCTACACCCGGTTGCGTGAGGGTTCCTCGGTCGTTCATCGCTTCGTAGGTCTTTGATTGAGGGGAACTCGCGGCGGAGGTGGTGGAAAGGTTGGATGTCATGGCGGGATGTAGGGAGGGTTTATCGATGCGATCTGAAAAAAGGCTTATCTCCGCCCGAACCTGCTGCAATGGAAAAGCTCGTATTGATCCTTTATTTCTTTTTTTGTTTGCGCGGAGGAGTGACTGATCCGCTAGAGCTCATGCTCCCGTAAACGTACTTTTGTTTCTTTTCTGCTGGTTTCAGGATCTGTTGAGAAAAAAGGTTGATTCGTCAGTTTCTCGGAGGAGAAAAAAAAGGAATGTTTTCAAGTATCAGGTTGACATACCTGGAAGGAGCAGAGTAGGCTCTCGTCGACGCTCATCATGGCACCTGCATTGTCGAATTCACCACAGTAGTTGGGCGCACTGAATAGTGTGACGAGTTGGCGCTTGGAGAAGAACTCGTAGCCATCTTCCACAACCTGGTGGGCTCGGCATATCAAATCCATATCGTGTTTCTGCAGGAAGCGTGACACCACATCGGGACCAAATGTGAAAGATACACCACGGTCGTTTTCGCTCCAACCAGTGATATCCTTGTCTGGATCGGACCACAACAGATCGCAGAGGAGACCGCAGTCAGGAATCTATTTTAGTCAGCGAATTTGGCCCTTAAGCCGCAGGAACTCCGTCAAACAGTTTTTGACAAATCTCGAGTCAAACAAAACATGGCACGTGCCGGGGAAAACATCGCAACAAAGAGGGGGAACGTACATCAGTGGGACGCATGACTCGGCGAATCTGCTCCATCGAGTTCAGGTCGGGGCTCAGGCCACCGTGCATGGTGAAGATCTTCTCGTCAATTATGGCCGCGATAGGCAGGCAGTTGAAGCAGTCGGTGAAGGTCTTCCACAGCTTGATGTTGTATCGGCGCTTGCACTCATCGTAGAAACCATAGATACGGTTGATAGAGGCGCACTCGTGGTTACCACGCAGGATGAAGAAGTTCTCGGGGTACTTGATCTTGTAGGCAAGGAGCAGGCAGATGGTCTCCAGGGACTGCTTGCCGCGGTCGACGTAATCACCGAGGAAGAGGTAGTTGGCCTCCGGGGGGGAATCCACCGTATTCGAACAGACGCAAAAGGTCGTAGTATTGGCCGTGAATATCACCACAGATCTGACAAAGAAAACAGAAAAAAGTTAGAAACGCGGGTCCCCGCAGGGAGCCACCCTTAAGGTCGGATAAGACATACCTTGATGGGGGCTTCCAACTCCAGCAGGATGGGCTGCGAGATGAAGATTTCACGGGCCTTGGTGCACAGGAAACGGATTTCCGATTCCAGAAGCTGCACTTGCTTACCGGGCCGGCTGCCCCTCACCTCCAGGAGCCGGTCAATAATGGAGTCCAGATCGACGTCTTGGTCAGCCATTATGGGCGGTCTGTAACGAAAGACAAAGAAGAGAAGGAAACGAAGAAAAGAAAACGGAACGAAAAGGACGCGCCGGGGGAAGGGATGACTTCCGAAGCGGGCGTATAACTGATGACGCGGGAACTATGTTCTGCAACAACGATACAAGTTAGTGATGCGTTCAGTTGTTAACAAGGATGTCAGTCCGATTTGCAAACTCTAGGTGGGTGCCCAGAGAGACAGACGCGTTCCTGATAGGAATTTTTTTTTGGCCACCCGAATTTCTGCCCGGGCTTCTTTTCCCCCCTTGGTAGAATTTTTGAGGACTTGGAAAATAGCAGAACGACTCACCAACAACCAAAGCTCAATGAGATCAGAGGTTCTTCACAGATAAGGGCCTTTGCGGCCGCGACTGTTTTAAGAGAGGGTCTGGCAGGGATGCCAGACGGTGGTGGACGGGGTACCTCTCCGACTGTAAACTGGCGGGCAGCTCGATCGAGAAACGAATACGATGCGTGCGCTTATTGAATTTGGCCGACAGTGATCGAGGGTCGGGTCAAATCAAGTTGTCGAGTCGATTTGGGTGGGATGAAGGGAGGGGGGTCGGTGGTTCCGAGCGATCGAAGTTTTCCGTGTGGGGGTGAGAGGGTGAGAAAAGGGGAGCAAGTCAATCCAGGGAGAAAAGCTTTTTAGAACCGAACGGTGTGAGCGATACGGAGAAGATGTTAAGCAGCGTGGACGCGATGGAGTGAGTTTGGCCTCGAAGGGTGAAGAGAGGAGAATCTTGCGCAGGGAGAGAAGCGGGAAGTTCCCAGAGTTTGTGTTTGCCGTGTTTGGTTTGGCCTCCGCGGTTATAGATCGGCCTGAGTTATAAATAGTCCCTTTTTTCAAGTTCAACTTCCTATGGTGAAGTCTGTCGGATCAATTCCAGTGGAATTTACTTGCACTTATGTTTACACTGAGTCTGCACACCATCATGCCCTCTTCCCCTCTCTTCATCATGCCAGGTGTTGGAGGGGCTGACTTTGGAGCTGGTCGAGACCCTCCTCGTCTGCAACCCAGGAGGCCCCAACACAGCGACCAGAGCACCGGGCTGCAGTGCGATTACACTTATATACTCGGAGAGAGACCCCAAGGACCAAGGTGCTGCAGCTCTCTGACTCCTAGTGCCCTGCTGCGGTTTCCAAGGTTGTTTGGGTACCCGGTGATCATGCCAAACCAGACCGCGCGTCACATCGCGATATGTTGACTTTTGACTTCCCAACACTGACAGGTTGACCCACGATGAAAGAGAACCACCGCCTACTCTCTACGGAAGACACGGAATTGACAAAAGACTTGTATTATCTTCTGGGGCACATATCACTGTCATGGCCCATGAGAAATCTGCACAACGCAACCGCCGAGAGCTGGAAATAACAAAAGGGGAATAGAGCAATCGATCCACCAACGCCTGAGATAAGAACAACGACGAAAAAAGGTACAATAAGCGCGCTCTAGACAGAAGTCTTCAACGGTGCCTACCGGAAATGGGTGAGGAAATACCGCAAAGAAGGACATTTTGAGGCCAACAACGAACAGACACAAGGGGAAAAGTGCAAAAAAAAACAGAATGGGTACAAAGAAACAGAACGCAGCAAAAACGGCCGTAAATGTTCATACATCCAACCCACCATAACTCGTAAGTCATCGAAACGCCATTAACAATGCAAAGTGATCAAGTAGTTCAATAGACATACTTGCCAGGGTCAAAAATTATCCCGAAAAAAAAGTTGTGCCGGTTGCTTTCCGAGGCCCGGTCACAGTGAGTGGGGAGAGGAGTTGAAATATGTAATATGGGTGATGAGAGGAAAGACAGATTTCCTCGATGAAAAAAAAAAGTCATAGCGGCTATTAGCCGCCCAATACGTGGCCGCCGCTCAATATAGCAAGGCTAGTCGACCGCGTGATGGATGCTGGTGGTATTGGTGAGTGGTCCAATCCGTTCGGTGTAAGATGACCCGGCAGGTTGTTTTGAGAGTTATCCCAAGGATGATCTCCAAGAACCGTGATCCAATTCTGTCCGACTTCCTGTCGTAGAGCTTCTAATTGCTGACGGCAGAGCACCTCATCCAAGGCCCAATCCTTTCCCGCCGCCGGTTGCACAACAGCGGGCTGGACGTGGGATGAGCTCGCCAACTGTCCAGGCTTGACAGGGCTCTGGATACTGGAGGATCCTGACTGAGTCGCACTATCCAATTTCCATTGGTGGTCGTATGGGAGGATGATGGAGGGGCTAATCGGAGAATAGATTTGCTGCGTGGGCAAAACTGGCGGCATTGACGGCCCAGAACTACCCAAACCGTCCGTTGTGAATGGGTTATCCGTCGATATATCGGCGATTCTTCGACGGTTGGTCTTCTTCCGGCGGCCAGTTCCTGTTTCATGATCTTTCCGCTGTGTCGTCTTGGCATACACTTCCAATTCGTCATCTTTTGGGCTGGGAAGAGGAATACTTTGAGCAATGACCGTGTTAGTGGGTTTATGCACCACGGTGGACTGGTCAGGTACGTTGGAGCGAACCACCGGGGCGCTCTCAGGCTCGGCAACTCGATCGGCTAGTTGTTTCCTCTCGGTGTAGCCGGGACCCCGGCCGTCGATAATGATATCTTCCGAGTACCCCGGGGTGCGACGGAACAAGTTCATGATCACAACTCTGTAACCAGAGTGAGTTTTGGTAAAGGGGTTGCCGGACACCCAGATCTCCCGTATTTCAGGGAGGCTGGTGAGACGAGCCAGTTCGGTCGGATCCATGAGGTTATTGTCACGTAGGTCCAATCTCTCAAGAGACAGCAGGCGTTCGATGCCTGCCAGCGAGCGAAGTCGGTTTCCTCGAAGGTTGAGTGCGGTAATAGCCGGAAGGGGATTGCGCGAAAGGGAGTGCAGCGACTCAATCATGCAGTGGGAAAGGTTCAAAGCTCGGAGCGCCATGAGAGATGCAAGGCTATCGGGAATCTCTGTCAGGAGGTTTGAAGAGAGGTCAAGCGAGTTCAGGGAGTTGGCCACAGGAGCGAGGCTGGCAGCAGAGATTGATGTCAGCGCGTTGTCAGGTAGACCCAGATGGCGCAAGAATCGCCATTTCGATGGAGGGAGAACCCCTGGAAGGAGGGTGGAGGAGCTTCCAGTCCGATAGCCAGCCGACGTATCACTCGAGTTGGAGCTACCGGAGCCCGTTCGTCGAATCCGCGCTGATTGACCACGGGCGTGACGCTGGTGGCTCTGCTTCGCGGCTGGGCGACTTGGTGAGATGCTGTCCGCTCTCGAACGAATATTCCCGCCTTCAGAACTGCCTCGAATCATAGGTGCGGACCTAGGGCTGGTGCTACTAGCCAGCGCGGTCTCAACAACGGGCGAGCCAGGAGCAGACAGCGATGTATGGTCCGGTGCACGGACAGGCTGTGTAGAATTGCTATTCGTCCACCCAAGCGGCGGAGACTGTTGGGACTTTGTCGAACGTCGTCGTCGCTTGTCCATGTCATCCAGCACGATTCGTGTCAATAGATCCGCAGGATCATCCAGATGAGCCCGCTTAATGGAGAGAGTTCGCAGCTGTTCAGACAGTCGGTCCCAGCCATAGAAAGAACGGTAGTCTATGTCAATGATCTCTAGAGCACTCAAGTTTTTGAAGGAGTGAAGCGGCACAGCCGTATCGAAGGGAAACTCTTCGTATCCTCGAATCAAACAGGCTCGGTGGTCCGGGGCAAGGCGCAAACAAGGGATTTTGGTGAATGCAGAGTAAAGATACTTTAGGTCTGCCTCTAGAGCAACCTTGGCCCTTTCCGATTTAGAGGATGACTCCTTGGATCCTAGACCAAACGAAGACCAGAGACCACTCATACCCGACATGACACTACGGACACTGGAGACGGAGTGGATAGAGGCTCCATCACCCTTAGATCGCTGTGGCTTATTCAGGAAGGACACGTAGGACTGAGAGACCTCGGTATGGATGTTCTCCAACCGGACGTTCATGGGGCCCACCGCAATCGAAAGATCCTCGAACTGTGAGAGCAAATAGAAGAGGTGGTGTGGAGTGAGGGTGAGTTTTGCGGGTTTGATACTCTGCGAGGTAAATTTCAGTGCCCCAAAAGATAAGGCGGAGGCGAGAGTCGTGGGGGAGAATGCCGAGCCATTCGAGTTCGAGGAGCTCGCGGGCGATTGCGCTGTCACCACATTTTTGGATTGGCGTCGGAGTTGCAAAGCGTTTGCGAGCGCTTTTTCGTGGGTACGAACGAAGCTGGCGAGGTTCTATAGGACGATAGGGGAAAAAAGGATCAGCCAAAAAGAACCCGAGGACCAGATGCCCAAAAAAAAGGCACGAGAAAAAAAAAAAGATAGAGACGGGCGATCATCGCAACTGGGAAGTGGGGGCGGACACACCTTGATGAAGAGTTGTCCATCTTCAGTGTTCAACTTCTCCATGGTTGGAGAGGAGTCCAGCGAGGTAGGATCCTAGCTCGGAGAACTCTGAAGAGGATGGCTCAGTAGATACAACCAGAGAGACCCGACATTTTGCTGGTGCGAGCAGGAGAAGAAAAAGGAGCGTGTCGCCTAGGCAATGTGAGGAGTTAGCGCATGCGATTGAGCAGCAGGGTTCAGGGGTAAGGGGAGTAAGTACCTCGTGCGAAAGGAATGTACCAACTTGACAGGTCGGATTATGAACCTGAGAAGGGAAGTGTTTAAAATTAGGAAGATGGGAAAGGTTGGAGGAGGAGGAGAAGGGGAGGAAGAAGGGAAGTCGGTGGTGGCACGGGGTAACAGCTCAATAAGAATGGGAGTGCCAGGCAAAAGATAACAATACACTAAAATTACTAGTCACCTCCAGTAGGTACTCCGTACTCCGTACCCTCGACTACTCTATCAGATTGGTATATTACCGCTGGTATTATTGCGCGGGGTCTGACTCTATCTGTTATTTTATCATTTAAATTTAAATTTAAATTTTTGATTTTACTTTTCGAATTTAATGAATATCATGTACG